TGTGTTCTTGTGATGACATTTTTTAATGAGTTGGAATTATTTTGAAAATAATCACATGAGGAATAAATTGCAGAATTGAACATCAATCTCGAGCCAATAAATTCACAAACAATTAAGAACTCTCCAATTAGACTTTAGATAGTTAAGGGATTGTTGACGGAAGAGAATTTCATGTTTTATAGTTAGTATTTATAGAAATTAATAACAATAATAATTTGTACTTCACAACAGGAAAGTTGAAGAAACAATAATTTTCAAGTGGAAACTTTACAATTTCTTTCATCAAGAGGATTATCCAATCAATCAATTATTGAAATAAAAAAAAATTCAAATCACCCAGATCTTCTTTGAACATGGCCAGAACCAAGCAAACAGCGAGAAAATCGACGGGTGGCAAAGCTCCAAGAAAACAATTGGCTTACAAAGCTAGAAAAGCAAACAGACCTTTCCCTTCCCGTTCGTTGGCAGGTCCTTTTTCTGATGAGGAAAAAGCAATTTTTGTGAATGGTTTGAAAAGAGCCTTCGATGGAAGTGAAGAATCATCAAAATTTGATGTAAATACCTATGAAGGAGCTTCACAATTAGTCAAATTTTGGATTTTCCAAGATCAAAAAAGAAGAAAATTGAAACCAATGGTAGAGGAAGCTAAATGGAATGGCAGCTTTGAATTGCTTCACAATCTTCCTATGGATATCAAGTATGAAATTATTGATTTTATTCCAACCTTTTCCTTGAGAGATTTTTACAAAATCAAGTTAGACGAATTCACTGAACAGATGAAGCTGGCACAAGTTGAAGATATTTCTAAAATTGTATGCAAAGGACTGAATTTGTTTGAAACCTTTACAAAGAGATCTTTTCAAAATTTGTACTATTCAGATCCTCTCTATAGAAACTATTACAAGAAGAGACTAATTAACAGAGAATATGCATTAAGAATGAAACAAAGGATATTGAAGTTGGATGAGTTTGATATTACAGATATTGATTATGATATTGGTTCTGTAAAGAAAGACAAACTATTGCACTTCTTTTCGTTGGTTAAGGAGATGAATGAAATTGACACTGTTGACTTTAATGATGTGGTCATTCACAGAAATATTGAAAAAATCAAGTCATTGGTAAATGGAACCACCACAAAAAGAAATGAAGATGATTACGAGTCACCTTGTGAAGAACCAATGGATGATACTGATTCAATTAGTAATGAGCCTAATGTAACTGTATCATTTGATGAAATGGAGCTACTTTCTGAGGAAGAAATGAAAAAGTTAGAATCAAAATCTATTGCCATACTGCAGGAATCAGAAAGAGGATATTATAATACTCGTAATTACAATAAGTTTAACAAGCAAGATAGTAAATCTTTTAGAAAGCAAGCGATGTATTCGTATGCTATACCATTGGAACTAATAGGAACTGGTGCTATTCCACAAGAACAAAATTTTACTCGTGCCTTTTCTCACGAAGAGATTATGGAAAGGCTTAAGGAGTTTATTGGAATTAATTCATCCATTAAGAAACTTTCTGTCAGAGGTCTAGATGTCGGCTTTACAAACACTGCCATGGACATCTGTAAAGGAATAACAGATCTTTCAATACTTTTATGTGAGTACGTGGATTATTTTGAGTGCTTTAAAGAAGTCCTACCAAATCTCAACAAGCTGACTATTAATGGAGTTTCTTCTCATTACTCAATTAGTTTTATGGAAAGCTTTATGATTGAGGAATATATTCAACCTAACTGTGTTGTTGATTTAGGGTTTGCTACAGGCACTGACACATATTTCTCGGATTTTTTAAATCGTTATGTTGAAGATCAAAACGGTAACAAGACTCCATTGAAAATTACCTCAAAACTACTCTCAACTGAAAACGTAACCGAATATGCCGACTTTTTATTGAGGTTTATAGAAGGAGTATCTTTCGGCCAATTGTTTTCTGATTTTGATATGAAAAAGAAATTGGTAGATTACTTGGTAATTGAAGTTGGCATTCCAATTGAATGGCTTACGCTTACCACAAGTGGAGATACTATAATTACAGAATACTTAGCTTATCTTTCAAATGTTTATCAAAATGGGGCAATTAATTGTCCAAGCTCTATTATGTTACGAGCAGGCTTGATTCCAAATAATATAGCCAATGAATTGGTTTTTTCTAAATATGAATGGGATGTTGTTGAGTTATGTTTAGATTATTTAAAAAAGAGAGATGATATTGATGACTTTGTTTTGACCCTTAGAAATTTGCTCGTTTTCTATGTGTGTGATAGAAGTGATTCTCCACTCTTTGAACTATATTGTTACATTAAGAAGAATATTCCAGAAAGTCAATTCAAAGAAATTTTAAAGCCTATCAAATGTATCATTCCAGAAGGCTACAAAGAAAAGAACAATGAAACCTTGCATACAGTTTCTATTCCCATCATTTGCTTCCCATTCTCAAATTACCAATTCGCTAAAGCTATCGTGGATGATATGACAGACGAAGATTTGAAATTTGTTAATGAGCTTGGTGACTCATGTCTGCACATTTATTCTAGACATGACCATAGTATTTGGAGTAGAATAGTTGAAAGAGTACCAGAGGTAGTCAAACTCAGCAACCCTGAGGGAGTAACACCTTTACATATTCATACTACCAATATCCAGTCATACATATTTGTATTAGACTTGTTGACAAGATTTGGTGCTGACCCAAATGCAAAAGATATTGAAGGAAGAAAAGCTATTGGTGAATTTTTTATATTTGAGAATGGTATTTTGAAAGTTAACAACAGATCAATGGAATATTAGTAATTTTTCAACCCAAAAAGAAGCTTCTTATAATAAACTTACCGTAACAATTCTCACGTTGAATTGGAAAGATTACAAAGTGATAACAATTTATTATACAATAACAGGAGGAAGTCTCTCTCTTGAAATTGGACGAGACAGAGCTCGCTTCTCTGCCTCATATTCTTCTATTTTCTCTCTAAGGGATTGAATCTTGTGTCGTTGCATTTCGATTTCCTTCAAAGCTTGTTCTAATGATGTAATACCACCAAGGTCCTTTAGTTCCAAAGATGATGAAGTTATATCGGTGCTCTTCTTTCCAATCTTGGACTCGAGCTCCTTGTCTTTAAGTTTTTGCTTTAGAGATCTAACTTCCTTTCTCAGGTCATTAATTTCCTTGATGAGGACAACATTTTCATTCATGATTCTCTTATTATCTGACTTGGAGGTTTCTGTTGCTTTAACAAGCTTCTTCTTGAGTGATTCGACTGTTTTTTCGAGGTAGGATCTTTGTCTTTCATATTCCTTTTGAATGTCAAAGTCCATTTCTTGAGTAGTAATCTTTTCAGAGACGTAGGTTTGGTAAAGCTTGGTAACCTCTTCTTTAAGCTCCTTTGGCTCTTGAATTAATTGTGCAACCTTGTAAATATCTGCACGAATTCTCTTCAATAGAGTGTCATTATCTTTGACTTTAAAGTTCAGTCTTTGAATTTCCTTGACTCTTCCATCAATCTTGAGTTCGAGATCCTTGATTGAGAGAATTAATCTATCATTCTTCTCCTTAGCCTTTTCCAATTCTTTTCTCATCTTCTTGGATTGCTTTCTTAAACTGGTAATTTCTTCCTTACTTGGTTTGATTTGTTCTTGGAGAGTTGAAATCTTGTATTCTAAAACAAATCTGAATTTTTCAAGTTCTTGGTTTTGTCTCTTCAACTTGAAAATTCTCTTTTCCTTGTCAATAATGGTTTCTTCTCTTTCCTTATTTTCCTCACTCATCTTTTGAATATCCTCTTGATATTGCTTATTGAGATTTTCTGCTCTTTGCTTCTTTTCTTCCAACTTTTCAATAAGTTCTAGTTTTTGTTTCAAAGTCTTTTGTAAGGCAATAAATCTGTCATTCCACTTGTTAGCTTCACTCTTGGCTTCATTGTAGCTGTCGTTCATCTTTAACAACTTCTTTTCATACATTTCTTTCAAGATCTTGATTTCCTTATCTTGATCCTCTTCCATTTGATTTTTAATTTCGGAAAATTTCTTGTCCAACTCGACCTTCTCATCTTGTAATGTAACAATAGATCCATCTTTTCTCTTAATTTCATCTTCATATTCTTCCGTAATATCTGTGAGCTCTCTCATGTGCATTTCCTCCTTATTCTTGGAATCATCTAGGATTTGCTTCTTCTCCTTCTCTCTGTCTCTGTTGAGTTCGGAAATTTGTTCAAGAGAATTGTGCAATCTCTCGTTAAAGTCTTGTTCCAGAGCTTTGATTTTTTCTCTGTGTTTTTCTATCAACTCATCGATTTTCTTCTCGTACTCATCTGTTACACTTTTCTTCTCTTGCAAAATACTTTGAATTTCCTCTTGTTTCTTTGTAAGTTCAAGATTGAAGCTTTTTGCTTGTTCTCTGAGAGCATTATTGAATTCAATTTCCTTTTTCTTTTGCTCGTATTCATTGTCTGACTTTAATTCTGCAACTTTTGCTTGAAGCTCAGCAATTGTGGTATTCTTTTCTTCCCATTCTGCTCCTGAAATCAAAATTTCTTCCGAATATTTTGTTTCCTTCTTAGTTTTACCTCCATCTCTGTCTCTTATTTCCACAATACCCAGCATACCATCTTCACCTGAACTGAATAAGAAAGAATCATCCCAAGCTTTAGAAATTCTTGTCACAGGACCTGAGTGCAAGTATAGTTTGTCTTCTATATACTCCAGATTTGGAAATGAATGCACAGTAATAGCACCAGTCTCTAGACCACCAAATATCATCTTTAATCCTTCAGAGTACTCCATACAAACCAATGTATTATCTCCCAAATCATATTCTGTTTGTGGATTACCTTCACTGAAGCCCTTAATCTTGTTATCTGATCCAGTAACAAAAATACTCTTTCCGTCTGTGGCGACAGATGTGTATCCAACATTCTTATTAGTATGGTGAATGGTTCTCTTCTCAGTTTTTACAACATATTCGTACACAGCACCATCCATACCAACACTCAGTACTCTAGTATCATCATCAGTCCATTGAAGAGCTCTGATTTTACCATTGTGGCCCCTGAGGGCAGATATTAATTGGAGAGTGTAGGTATTGTAAACGTTGATTACGTTACCGTGAGCTGCTGCAAAGTAATGACCACCATTACTGAACTTTACCTCACCACAATTTCTTACCAAGAAAGATTTCTGCTCTCTAATATCATCTCCCAAAATATCCATAAATCTCAGTTTATCTTGGAAACCAACAACCAAGTGCAAACCACTAGGGTGAATTGCTATTGAGTAGGCCTCGGCTGGGAATTGTTTTACAATATTCAGTGTATTATCCAAGTAGTTCCATACTCTGACAGTCTTATCTGTACTGCAGGTCGCAATAATTGGCTTTCTAATAGCAGTATCCATTCCCGTTATGGCCTTTGAGTGGAATGGAATTGTGAGATATTCAAATTTAATGTCATCTTCCTTTTGTAAAATATCAGAACTACTGATATTCAAAGTAAATATTTGAGCTGAACTTGTTGAAAGGACCAAGTTTTCATTTGAAGGACTCAAATTAAAATTGAGAATTTTGTGATCGAGATAGGTTTCGCTCAGTTCCTTATATTGAGTGCTATTCATAACTCGTAAAGTCTTTGATCTTGAATACATTTCCTTTTCATCGGCCGATTTTTCAAATATTGAAACAACTCCATTCTCACCTCCACATACAAACCCAGTTCCATAAGGAATGAGTGCTGTTATACTAAGTCCATCTGATGGAGATGAGGGTAAAATAAATTTAAATTCATTCTTTTCAACGAAAAATAAATCTCCGTTAGCATTTGAAACAACTAACTTCTCTTCATCTAACCAGGTATGAGACAGATAAGGCTCATGATCTCTTTTGCCAATACCGTCTGTCACAACTTTGAGTTTTTCTCTATCATCTAGGGTTAATAATTTAAATACACCATTACCAGTAACACAAATAGTTTTGCTATCTGGACTAATTGAACATTGAAAGACTGGATCTCCATCCACTGAAGATGTACAAATCGTATCAACTATCCTAGTTTTACCTTCCATAGACCACAAAACTAAATTATATTCTGGACCTCCTCCTTGGGCTACCAAATATTTACCATCCAATGAGAAAGCCATACAAACAAATTCATGAGATCCAACACCTGGATGAGAAATCGTCTTTTTGACTGTGTATGTTGTTGTTTCATAGAGTTTAATAAGAGGTGGGTTTTTTTTGAGGTCAGTGATCTTTACAGTTGATGAAAGTGGTTTTGTTTTTTCTGCAACAGCCAAATATTTTCTATTAGGTGCTAGACAAAGAGCTGATATTCCTTCCGTATTATCGGACCCTGTTTTAATCTTCCTCACTCCATTTGTTTGATGAAAAACTAGGCATCTACCTGAAGGGTAAACGACACATGTATCGTTGACATTATCTCTAATGTACCAGATATTATTTTTTACCTTTGCATTAAGACCAAACACATTTTTAAGTGAGAGGATGTGGTTTTGAAATGGTTCAGTCATTTTTTTTGTAGATTATTAGAGAAAAGTTTTGGCGGGAGTTCTTTAACGGTTGATGGTTTGAGGTTGAAAGATTGTAAGTTGTATCAGTTTCTGATATCACTAAAAAACAAGAAAGTGTTGAATATTACAATGAAAGTATTTAAATATACTAAAACTGAATATCAAAGTGAACTCGTTACTAACAAAAGTGGTAATGTAGTACCTCAATAGTGATTACAGTTAACTAAGAATTGGAAATACGTAAACTTGTTTTGATACTTCATCACATTGTTATTATATATAATATAATAAATAGGGATTGAAGTATCGCTCGTTTATGGAAATGTGAAATGGCACATTTATGTATTTAAACAATGATGCATTCAATTTAGAACGAGCTGCTTGTCAATGCAAATAGAAACCTGAAGCGTTGGTCACTGAATCATCTTCCTTATTTCTTGCCAACTCCGTTTTCAGTCTGTTCTGACGCCACCTTCTAAAAGAGCTTGTTAAAAGCAGCTATTCAGGTAGTCACTATTGCAACTTTCAAGAACCTTCACCACAGAACTGTGGGCGAAAAAAAACAATATTTAACGTTAAAAAATGGATGCCCGTGTTGCAGTAACGAAAGGTACGTTAAGAGAGAGATGAATTTAAGAATATTAAGGCCTCTGTTCATACATCATCAATATAATACCATTTTAATATCGGACTTGAATAAATAGATGATTTTGAGTATGGACAAATATTGGGTGAAGGTGCTTTTGGCCAAGTTCGTTTGTGTGTCCATAAAGCAACAGAACTTCAATACGCAGCTAAAGTATTGAAGAAGGAAAAACTTATTAAGGCCAAACAAACGAAATATGTCAAATCAGAGAAGGAAATATTATTGGAGATGGATCATCCTAACATTTCAAAATTGTGTTATACCTTCACTGATGAAAAGAAGTTGTACTTTGTGTTGGAACTTATTTCTGGAGGAGAATTATTTGAGTGTATTATAAAGAGCAATGTAGCAAATGATAATAAGGAATTGAAAAAAGTTGCTCAATTTTACATGGCTCAAATGTTGGAAGCACTGATCTATATTCACAGTCTTAATATTTGTCACAGAGATCTTAAACCCGAAAATCTAATGCTTACAGGATCTGGTAATTTAAAATTGGTGGATTTTGGTATTGCAAAGAAAATTGATAGACCAGGTCCGAATACATTCTGGTAAGTTAAAATATGAAAATCTTGAAAATCTTAATTTCCAATAGTGGTACTGCTGAATATTTGGCGTAAGTTTTCTTATCAACTTGATTATATTGATGATTTCTCAATAGACCCGAAGTTGTCAGTAATAATGAATATGGTATTATGGTAGATTGGTGGTCTTATGGTTGTATTATTTACGAATTATTTTGTGGAAAGAGTCCTTTTTACAGCTCTAGTATGGCTGTAACTTGTCAAAAGATTGTTGATAGAGACATCTATTGGCCAAAGACAATGCCACCAGATGCCAAGGATTTAATTAATGGACTTCTCACTACAGACCCAGAAAAGAGAATTGGAGGTCCTGAATTAAGAAAGCATCCATTTTTCAAAGGAATTGATTGGAAGAATTTAAACAAGGCTGACCCACCTCTGGTTCCAGATCTTTTGTTCAATGATGAAGATAGAGGTGTTGGTATTAAAATGTCCATGTTTGAACCTAGAGTGGATCAGGAAGACGTCATGATAAATGCTCACGTTTTCAAATCGAGATCAAGCAGTAAAGGATCAACGCAAGATGCAATCAAGAGAAGCAACTTGCTCAGAAAAATGTACCCTCAATTGTGTGCTCTCCCAGAGAGACCAAGACCAATCAATTCAAGAATTATTCAAAACTCTGAAAATGTTCCAAAATCCAATGATAAGGTAGAAGAGGAGGAGGTAGATGATAGGGGTGATACTCAATCGGAATGTACTAGTGTCAATGAGGTCAGTAAGAAGGTCGTTATGATTCAAAATGCTGTCGGTTTGAAAACTCCTGTTATCAGGATTGCATTTGGAGAAGGTGACAAGATGGCTTGTAGTAGTAGTTTCCAAGCAAAAACATTTGGAATTGGAATTGACAGTGAATCTAATGTCATTTTCAATGAATATAAGAATTTATCAACTGTATCCACATGTAATTACTTGGAATATTCTCCAAATGGTGAAACACTTGCCTTCGACATGCAAAGACATATTGGTTTGTTGGACTTGAAGAATCCAAAGAAAAAACCAAGACAATTGGTGGGGCATTCCCTTCCAATTACAAAGGTTTCTTGGCATCCAAAGAGCCACATGTTGGCTGCCGGAGGAAGAGATAACCTGGTGTACTTGTGGAATGTTGACAGCTCCAAACCAAAGCTTGAGGCTCAAATGGATTCACACAAATCATATATTTCAGATCTTCAATTCCATGCAAAAGATCATCTACTTGCCAGTGGAAGTGGAGATTTCAAAGTTGTATTCTACGACATTCAAAGTCAGAGAATTGTACAAAAGTACAGTTACCATGAAGATGCAATTCTTGGTGTGAGGTGGAATCCTAAATTCCCTGACATTTTTGTTTCCTGGTCTTTGGATAGAAGACTAATCTTCTCCGACCGCAGAACTTTCAAACCTATTAAGGTTCTAGCTCATAATAGACCTGTGATTCATGCTCAATGGTCACCTGATGGATCAATGCTTGCCACCTGCAGCAAAGATTCCATTAGAATTTGGTCCTATCCATCAATTACCTCCTCTTTCGTCTACACCAATTCTGAAAGTCTTCCTGGTGAACATCTCTCTTTCGAATGTAATAGCAATTATTTGGCAGTATTGAAATGCAGAGATGATACCTCTCCTTCAGTCATTGATACCTCTTCCTTTTCTTTTGTTTCTCCAAATCCACATCCTCAAAACTCACACAAACTCCCAATTACTAGTCTGCAATGGAGTAATAACAGACCATTCCTTGCCACTGGTTCCTATGATAAGTCTGTTATTTTGTGGGGTGTTGATGAATAAATTTTAAATAATTCAGTGACTTGTTGAATGGTTTCGGAAGAAGATCCTGTGTATTAAGTTTAGACTTATTTTTTCTAATAATTTACAATGAAATATTTAGTTATTCGAATAGATACCTTAGAATACACCAAATTTATATTGAGGAGGTATTGGAATGTCGTAACCCAATTCCTTCGCAGCTCTGATTGGCCAATATGGATCACCCAAATCCTTTCTTCCAATAAATACTAAATCAGCTTTTCCTTCTGTCAATATTTGATTGGCTTGTACTGGTTCAGTAATTTTACCAACAGCTGCCACAGGCATTACTTGTCTAACCCTTTCTGCATATTTCACTTGATACATTGGAAATGCCATGAGAGCTTGGGATAGTAATCTTGATGAATTACCTCCTGATGAACAGTCAATTATATCAACTCCCAAATCTTTCAAAATTTCAGCTAACCTCACACTATCCTCAATATCCCAACCATCACTCACATACTCATCACATGATATTCTTACAAATAGAGGCATTGTCTCTGGAATGCAACTTCTTACTCGACTAACAATTTCAGTTAGAATTCTTATACGATTCTCAAAAGAACCACCAAATTTGTCTTTTCTCTTATTAGATGTTGGTGATAAGAAGGAATTAATCATATAACCATGAGCTGCATGTATCTCAATCACATCAAAACCAGCCAAGACAGCTCTCTTAGCAGCAGCTACAAAGTCTTCAATCAATTCTTCCACCTCATCTTCAGTCAACTCTCTCGGAACTCTATGTGATTCATCAAATGCAATTGGAGAAGGTCCAACCACTTCCCATCCTCCTTCTTCATCACTTAATGCAGTTCTTCCTAGGGCTTCCCACAATGCACGTGTTGAACCTTTTCTCCCAGAATGAGCCAACTGAATACCAATATGTCCACCTTGTTCATGAGCTAAATCCGTAATCTGTTTCAACATTTCCACATGTTCGTCCTTGTAAATTCCCAAACAATGAGGAGTAATTCTTCCAATTTCAGAAACAGCAGATGCCTCCACTATAAACAAGCCAGCACCACCTACCACTCTACTGCCAATATGTTGCACATGCCACAGATTAGCAAAACCATCCTTGCTAGAATAGGTACACATTGGAGAAACTACAATTCTATTCTTCAAAGTCAATCCTCTAATTGTGTAAGGTTGAAATAACATTGGAGTGTCTGAGGAGGGCATGATTGCCTTTTTGGCTTCTGCCAATCCTGTTAGAGCTTGAATAATAACACCAACCCAGTTGACCATGATGACGAAGATGTGAAGAGAATTTTTTCTAATAGTTTTTTCATGCTTGCTGAATATTTGTTGGACTTGAACAAAAGTGGTGCGAATTAATGCGAAGAACACCCCGTCCAATGAATCCGATCCTTAAATTGACAATTTTGTGCATTCTTCAAGCTCAATATTTCGTATTTTGTGTTTTACAAATCCTCAAGATGCTAAACAAAGATAATAATATTTGCATTCACCTCTACTTAATAATATGGTGTTGTTGCGATCCTTTTTTAATAGAAAAAAATGTTTAGACAAGCTTGTTCTTCATTGCTCTCATCATCTTTGCCAACAAAAACAACAAGAGCAAATTATTATTACAATAGGAGATTGAATAATTCCTCTCTATTGAAATCCATCATTCAATACAATACCTTCTCTACATGTCTCTCACAAAATAATGCCTCGGAGAAGAAAACCAAATCATCAGCAGCAGCAACAACAACAGGAGGATTAATTACAACACCAATTTATTATGTAAATGGACCACCACATATTGGACATTTATTTACAACTATCCTCTCCGATTCCATCTATTTGTACCATAAACAATTGAAGAATCGTCATGATATGATCTTTTCCACTGGTACTGATGAGCATGGTAGTAAAGTGCAAAGAACAGCCATTAAAAATCTTCCCAATCAAAATACTTTGGATGATGAAACTATTAACAAGTCGTGTGTTGAATTTTGTGAGAAAATTTCTGAAACATTCAAGACCATGATGAAGGATTTTAATATTCAATATACTCACTATTTAAGAACAAGTGCCACAAGGGAACATAGAGAAACAGTGGAAAGAGTTTGGAAGGAATTGGAAAAACGAGGAGATATTTATTTGGGAGAATATCAGGGATGGTATTGTACTACTGATGAAGCTTTCACAACAGATATTGAACAAGTTAAAATTACCAATGAAAAGGGAGAGGAAGAATTAGTGACATTGAGTAAAGCTTCAGGAAATAGATGTGAATTCGTGACTGAAAAGAATTATAAATTCAGATTGAGCAAATATATGGATAGAATTCAACAATGGTTGGAAGAAAATCCAAATACAGTCAAACCAAAGGAAAGATACAATGAATTGATGGAATTAATTAAGAAGGAGAAGGAAAGAAGTCCAGAATCTCTCGATTTAAGTATTTCTAGAACAAGAGATCGTGTACAGTGGGGTATTCCAGTTCCAGATGATTCGGAACATACAATTTATGTTTGGCTTGATGCTTTGACAAATTATCTTACTGCTGGTTCCACTCTCGCTAATGAATCACTCAATTGGCCACCAACTGTCCAAATTATTGGAAAAGACATTCTCAAATTCCATGGTATTTACTGGCCTGCTTTTTTGATGGCTCTTGGAAAGGAACTTCCTGAAACCATTCTTGTTCACTCATATTGGCTTGTCAATGATGTAAAAATGTCCAAGTCTTTAGGCAATGTTGTATCACCATATGATTTGTTGAATCAAACTGGTGTTGAACATGACTTGTTACGTTACTATTTATTGAGTGAAGCTGTACTCAGTAATGATAGTAGTTTCAGTATGGTTAGATTCCCTGTTAAGGTGAATGAATTGGCTGATATTTTCGGAAATTTATTGACCAGAGCTTTTAATAAGAAATTCCATGCTGAAGAGGGAGAAATTCAATACAGAAATCTTCAATTTGATTGCCCTAATGCCGAACAAAATCCAAATCAAACTGCTCAAGAACTTATTGAATTACTCAATGATTTACAAGAACAAGTTAGAAATGCCTATGAAGAAAGATGTGAAGTGAGATTTGCCAATCTTGCAGCCACAAAGATTTTAAAGAAGTGTAATCAATTATTTGATGAAGTTAAACCATGGATTCTTGTTAAGGATGCAGTGGCTAATGCTCAACAAATTGAGGAGTTAATGTTTCTTGTTGCTGAAACTTTGAGAAACTGTTCTATTGCCCTTTACCCAGTTTTACCTCACAAGATGAATCAATCATTGAGCTTTTTCAATCAGTCCACACCATTGTTGGAAGATATTGGTTTCTGTAAGAAGGGTACTTCTATTCGCGTCAAATCCAATCCAGAAATCCTTTTCAAAAAGATAGAGGAAGTAAAACAACAAGAACATTCATCAAGAGGAAGAGGAAAGAACAAGGAAAAGAATGCTGAAAAGAAATAATATATCAGATTCAGTAAATTTATTGGTTGTTTGAAAGAACAAAGTAGCTGTTTCTGCACTTGACAGCAGCCTTTCTGACCTTTCTCTTCTTATCGTCCAAGCATGCTTCTAAACCTTTAATAATGTCCTTCTTTAAAGGATAAATTTCATAATACTTGTATCCGTTAGTGAGCTCCAATAATGCCTCAACTGAGAGTATTCTTACTGCTTGGGATTTTTTGAATTTACAGGTATCAAGAAGGATTGGAACAATTGATGACAAGTGGACAGACATTTCTTCCTTGGCATCTGATAATAAAGTTAAAGTAGTCTTGATTGCTGCATACAATAAATCTTCCGAATTATTGTCTTGCTCTATCAGAATTTGCCTCATTTCCAAAAACTTTAAAACAATAGGGAAAATATTCTTAACCTCACTGAGAATAACCTTTGTTGGCACATTATGAATTAAATTAGATAATGCTAAAAGAATGGAGCCAATGATATGTGGTTGGGTTACTGTGTTAATAGAGTCCATCAACTTTCTCACATTGGTGGCAAAGAAACGTTGTTTGTACAAGACTTGAATAATGGCATGATTTTCCTTGTGGATGGATGTTTCATCCTCTCCAATAGCAATCAGAAAACCTTCAGCAACCTTCTTATTAACCTTTGAACTATTATATTCAAAGACGAGAGAACCACACAACAATGAAGAGTACCTGTCTGCGTGAGGAACATAGGCTCCTCTCATGACCAATCCTTTCAAAATCCACGATACCATCTCAATGTATCTTTCAGCACTCTCACTATCTCCATTATATACGGTAAGCATTTGTGAAAAAGCATCAAACACTGTGGCATTACAAATTGTAATCAATTGTTGGAATTCAGTAGAATCCAAAGGCAACTTGTTTAATACTGAACCAACAAGTTGGGCAATACATTTGGTGACCTGGCTAGGTTGTTCTCCCTTCAATGCCATTTGTAATAAAGAATCCGTCATTGTTATCAAATTACCCATTCCAACAGTTGGTCTGCATGCTATTACAATAGCAGATAAAACTGAAATAAAGTTTTTAAGTCCAGTGCTAGGAACTGAATTGGCATATTGTAAAACACTATCCAGTACAACTTGTTGTAATTCATTTTCCAAAGATCTACCCAATAAAAGTGTCAAGAAGGAGAAATTTCCTTGATTGTGATGAACATGTGCACATTCTGAATCACTGCAATCCATTGTATCAGAATCGTCAACCATTTGTGAGGATGAATCAGTAACTGACATTTTAACAATTCTTTGAATATAAGAAACCTTATCATGGGCTGGTATCAGTGATACGTCCAACGAGGTAATAGTCTCAAAAACTTTCACTCTCTCGTGCTCATAATGAGATTCAGAAATTGGAATGCTTTCAATTCTCTCGAATAGTCTATGTGTAATGGAAGGTGTCATGGATGGACATACCTTTCCAACTGCTGAAATATTAGAAAGAATACGATTAATATGTTCAGACTTATTTTCACAACCATACAATGCACCGAAAAGTGGTACCAAAATATCTTCGCTAACAATATCTGGAGCATATTTGTAAATCCAAGCAATATCCTTAATGACTCTTTCCTTATACTCTTCCAGTGAAGTGGCATGCAGTAAACTGAAAGATTTGTTTTCTTCACCGTACGATTTGAGGAGTATCCTTGAAACATAGATATCCCTCAACAATGTAGATGGTATTCTGAAAATGGCAATTCTTGAAATAGTTTCGACCATGACTAGGATCATTTCCTTGTCATTCTTTGAAAATTCCTCTTCATAAATGGATAAAAATACTGTCTGTACTTGGCTAATAAGATTGAATACAACTTCTGGAAGTTGATTCTCACCTTTTTGTTCTGCAACAGCTTGCAAGAGTTGTGTTATCATGAGTAAACTTCCATATAACTTATCCTTGGTATCAGATTCACTCAGAGTAGCAACCAATTCAGGCATTACTCTATTAAATACCATCATGGAAATTTCAAATGTTGGAACAGCGCAAGCATAAATCATTCTGGCATATTGAGCTGCAAACTTTGGTTCTTTTGACTTGAGTTCCAATAGGGCAGTACGTAAAATAGCTTCAATATTTGGAATGTCAAATGGTTTGTTACTTGGATCGTTTGGAATGATAACTATTCTTGCAATCTTGGTGATGGATTCATAGCACTTCTTCATGACATCCATAGAGTTGGTTTTGACTGATTCAGCCTTGATGTATGACCAAATTTCTGTCAAATATTCTCTACTATTTACTTCTCCAAATTTCTCAATGCAATAACACAAATAGTCCAATGTCTCTAACTTGGTATCGACGAGATCACTAGAAAGCTTTTCCAAAAGGAATGGAAATAGTGTAGGTGCAAAGAATTTGTTGCACCCAAAACAAAGTTTCAAACTCCTAGATAAATCCTCTCTGGTTATTCCTCTTGTATCATTTGCTGGTGGTGTATAGGTAATTGGGAAATAACAACTAGTAATGTCAAACAAGTCATCAGATACTGCTGATAATATTTTAGAGCTCAGTTCAGAGTCATCAAATATAGCAATAACTTTAGGAATCAAATTGAAACAGTATAATAAATTGCCAGGATCTCTTTCACCTTCCAATGATTGAATAAAACCATTCAAAAAGTCAATTGTTCGAACAATGGAAGGAAATCTGTCTGCCAATAGAGAAAACCATTCAAAGCACAAACTTCTAGTTTTTGTTGCATGAGCCACACCTGAAGTACTTCCAATTGATTGAATATTGACATTTTCAAAGAATTGAAGAACTACATTAATAGCTTGCTCACTTGAAATGTATGAACTCCACTTTTTAAATAAAGAAAACAAGCATGGTAATAATGTAGCTAGACAATCAAAATCATAAAATCTATCACCAATAAATCTCAAAAGACTTGCTACCAGCTTGAGTTGTGTTGTTTGTTTTGTTTCATCAGTTTCACTTCCTACATTATTTGGTATATTTTCTAATATCAAATCCAAGACAGCATAAGCTGCTCCTCTAATTCGATCATCAGTAGCATGATTCAAGTATTCTCCCAATAATTTAATTCCTTCATTGATCGTTAATGTTCCATTCACTACAAATTCTATTAATTTACTTTTAAGAGACTCCTTGTTGGTGTTCGGAAGAGTTGGATTGCACAAACTATCAATCAGTGAAATCAATTCTTGTTCTCCATTGCTGTTGGATGATGTTTGCATTTTTTTGATTTTGCAAACAATGGAAGTCCGTGTTATTCTTTCATGATTGTGCTGTACACAAGGATTTGAACAACATTTAAAGGTTGAATATTTAGGAAGCTATTGAAATATAATGTATTGAATTTTAATTAAAAGGTTTTTGGAGTTAATTCTTCATCATCTTCCTCAGCACTTGCTTTCTTCTTCTTTTTCTTGGAGGCTTTCTTCTTTTTGGTGCTTGTAGATGCTGGGGGTTGAATAGCAAGAGAAGACCATTCATCACCTTGCACTTCTACAGTTTCGTGAAGTTGCTCTTGAGGTGATGTTGGAGAATCTGTAGGTGCTACAACAGGTGTTGTTATGTCTGTAGTGATGATGGCTTCACTTTCAGTGGTTATTGATTGTTCTTCTGTTGTTGTTGGAAGGGTTGGAACACTATCTGTTGGATCCATACTTGGTGCTTCTTGTTGCTCTGGAATTGTTGTGGATGTTAATAATTCATTTGTTGTGCATTGAATAGTTGGAGATGATTCCTCTGTTTTAGCTTCTTCTTGTGGAGTGACAGGTTGTTGTGTTTCTTCTTCTTCTTGAATTGCTACTGGTTGTTCTGCTTCTACTTGTTGTTTTGGTTCATCCAGGATGAGTGGAGTAGAATTGGCCACTGTCAGAATGGTATTGTTCTTACCACTGACACTTCCATTATTACTTGATTGTCCACTCTTATTAGAGACATTGGCAACACTAGCAGTGGTACTCTTATTTGAAGCAGTGGCAACTTGTGCTTCGGAAGTTGTTGATTTTGATGAAGAAATGGCAGCTACTGTTGAATCTGTTACATTTGAAGGAGGATTTGATGTTGGTTGTACTGGGGAGGAAACAGCTGGAGTTGTTGCAGTGTGGAGTGATGAAATTGGTTGTTGAGGTTGTGTGGTAATGTTTGAAGGACGTGGTTGTTTTCTTGCTCCTTGTTGTTGAGTGTTTAGTTGTTGTACAAGTGGCACACTCACAAAATGGTTTTTCAATATCCGAATACTGTCTGAGAATATCCAAGGTGTGTTTGTGTTTATAGATTTACAGGCTAAGATCGCATAGTCGGCATCATAGATCTTTTCATTTACTTTCTTTGTTTTTAACATGTTCTGTTATTGTACAATAATATTTCCAATATTTTAATATAATATATAATTATTATTATAAAATAGATTATTGTTCAATAAAAGATTAATCCACAACAAACTTCCTACCTTTTGTTCAACCATCATTGGTACCTTTGTTCTTACGTGCTCCACAATTCTATACATTCCTACACTCGGTTCATTCATGATGTGATGAATATTCGAACTCCAAATATCACATAAATTTAAAACTGATTGTTTGGTATCAAGATCAAGAAAACGATCCGTAGAATCAGCAAGGGTTGGCACTGATCCCTTGTAGATTTCTCCTCTTGGTTGTCCTCTCATTTTTTAATATGAAAGATTTTTTGAGTTTTCTTTTAAGGGTTGAAACAATAATGTGTAGTAATAATGTGTATTCATTAACTACATTTTGAATTCAGTTTATTACAAGATAACACAACCACCTCCTCCACCTCCACTGCTACTGGGTCTTGGGATGTTATTAATTTGAGTTCGGAGGTCTTGATTTTGTCTGGTTAGTTCATCGAATTTTCTTTGAAATAATTCCTCCTGATTAGAATATTTGGAATGTATTTGAGCAACTTGGGAAGAGTATTCTTTCTTAATTTCTGTTTCTTTTTTGTCCCATTCCAATTTGAAATGGTTGAGGTCTTGTTCATGAGCTTGTTGCTGCTCTATTAAGGTATGTAAATGTTTTTCATTTTGCAGTTTCATATCTTCTAGTTCTTGTAAACGAGTAAGTTGTTCTGATTCGAGTTTGGTAATTTCAAGCCTTTGTTGTTCTTGTTCTAACATTTGTATTACCTTTTCGGATTCGTAATCCTGTAATTTGGATAAATAGTTAGCACATTCGACAGTTAAATTCTCAATATCTTGCAAAAGGTAAGTTCTAACTTGCTCTCTACCTGGACCTTTGCATTGAGCTTCGAATTGTTTCATTTGTCTTTCAGCCTCTTTCTCTAAATCTTGAACTGTGGCATCGTGGGTTAAAGCTCTAATAAAGAGTGATATATTTTGTTTCATTTCGGATCGTACTTGCTCGCACAACCTAACAGATTTGTCCATATTGTTACTTTCTATTTGGGATCTCTCTTTTTTAATTAATTCAAACAACTTGTCAGAATATTCTCTCAATATCTTTTCATCTTTTTCAAACATGGAGTCTCTGTTGAATATGTCAAGAATTGTTGCCCATGTTTTTGTGTGTTGTTTACGGATTTCACAAATTTCATAAATACTGTTACTGTTCAAATGTTTCTTCATTTCCCTTTCGTATAAATTTACACATTTTTCAATTGTCTTATTGTAGGTATTTTCAATTACCATTGTAAATTTGTCCTCAATATTAGGAATCATTCCATGTGTTTTAATGGTTTTCAAATATAATAATATTAAAGTAACATAGCGAGTTCCATCTAATAAACCTCCATTCATATTTTGTTTTGGTTTAATATTGGATGGAACGAAACTGTTAACAAAAGTAGACATTTCCTTAATGAAGTTAGCATTCAGTAAATGTTCTACGTATGGAATATCAGGAACACAACCTGTAGCAGGTGCTTCCATATGATATGTATCAAAAGTTTCAAAAGATTCAATTACTTTTTTTCTTGAATCATTGTTGCAAACCTTATTCAAAATAAAGGAGGTAAGAGTCTTAAATTCAGCTGGTATATTCAATTTGAAATCTCTGAACAACCAAATACATCTTGGTTTCATATAACTATTGCACTCCGTATTGTTTTGATTGGATGATTTCAATTGAATGTTTTGAGTGAATCTGGTGGTAATTTCAAGTGTCTCCATACTACTTGCTGTAGGACAAGTTGTGGTATTATAAATAAACAGAGATGATAGTAATACACTTAGAATCATAATGTGATTATCATCAGAAGCGTTAGCAGATGCTGCATCAACACCTTCAGTGTCTATCAATAAAACTTTCAATTTCTGATTGCCGTAGACCATTTCAATTGGCTCTGACCATATCCAAATTCCAAATGTTTTAGCTTCTACTGTGTGTCCTAAATGAAAGCTATCTGCAGGAACATTATCACCAACTAATCTACTAAGAGAGTATGATTTACCTTCCCTTGTTCTTCCAGCAAGTACAATTGCTCCAATAGGCTCCTTGATATTTTTGATTATGTCAAGAGCTTGTTTCTGGAAGATTAAACCCTCTCTACGTCCGTTCTCTGATAACAGAATGTATTGACCATTGGGAGTGACCACCATATTTTTAGGAAGTAAGAGAGGAATTGCTTTACCGTGGAGTTTAACAACTTGAAAAGCAGGGTTTTGGGATGAGTTGTCTCCAGCAAATACTAAAAGACCCCAATCGCCAAAATAATCCACGTTAACAACAATATTGTTTTCCATACAGAGGTAAATACTTTGATTTGTTGTAATATTTTCTCCAACATGACATTGTCCATAAATGGTAAAGGTAGCATAATTTTTTTGATAATAGCCATTCTCAACTTCAAATCTATTAACATTTGGTGAAAGTACTAACTTTCTATGGACTCTTGAAGAATAGATAAATACTGTATCTCCAGATTTAACAATACCATCTTTTGATTGATCATTAGCATTTACAAAATACAGTAGATCGTTTTCAGCAGAAAAGTGAGGGAGAGCTACTAATACATTTTGCTCCTTCAATCCCACATATAGATTGGTATTTGAGTTCATGATGGCTACTGGCTCTTTGTAAAATAAATTAGTATCTTTACACTTTTCAACAAATGGATCAAATATGCTATCTGAAACTAAATCAGGGTCTGCTTCCATTTCTTTAAGAATATCCTTTGAAGAGTTTGGTACTTTGGAATCATTATCTATGGGTTGATCAAAGTCCATGTCAAGATAACTGAATGATTCGGCCAAATCTTCGAGACTATCATTAATAGCTTTTCTTTCTGAAGTATGAATGAAAGTGTAATATTCAATGGCGTCTTCAAGATGACCCATGCTATTTTGGATGGCTTCAAACACTAAATTCAAATCCGACAAATCCATTTCTATCATTCTCCAGAATGTTGAGGTGGCTAAATCGCAAGCTTCTTTTCCATACTCCTCAAAGTGTTTCTCGATTTTATCCAATACTGTGTGGTGATCCATCTAAATAGTTTTTTGTTGTTGGGTTGAAAAATTCTAAATTGTTTTCTCTTTTAAATTGCAAGCACCATCCGTTTTAATCAACAAAACGTGATTGTAGACTCAAATAAGTAACACTCATCACGTTTTACTAAACGAACAATACAACAGGGCGATCACGTTTCAGCATTTTTTAATATTTTTATTATTTTCAATTTTAAATTAAATGTGTTTAAATAATTATATTTATTTACAAAATATTACAAAAACCAGATGATCTATTATTCATATTTGCAAGACTACTGGTTAGATTAGAAATTTGTCTTGAACTATCAGCAGATTGTTGTTGTAAAACATTAATCATTTGAGTCATTCTTTGTTCGGATTGAGCTTGCTGTTGAGTAAACATTTGATTCATATTTTGGAGATTTTCCTTATGTTCAAAGAGGAGTCTTTCTTGGAGTTCTTGCATTTTCTTCTTTTCATCATTTGATGCAGCAAGCATTTCTTTTTGGAATTCTTTGATTTTGTCCATTGTTTCCTTGTATAATTCTTCTTTGGCTTTTTCAGATTGTTCGAGGTTTTCTAATTGCTGTCTGACTTTTGCAGTTTCTTGTTGGATGGCTTGATTTTTCAGTCGTTGTTGAATCAAATCTTCCTTGTAGCTCTTAACTTTCTTCAACTTGTTTTTATCTAATTCACTTCTTTCTTCAAAGAAGGTTTTAAGTACTTCAGTCTTGGCTGGTCCTTTTGCTCTCTGATCGTATAATTTACCAATCTGATCAAAGACAAGCTCAATATCTTCCATTGACTTGTTCTCAATATCATTTTCAAGAGATTCAACTGCTTGTTTGTGAAGAGAGGAGATTATCTCATGACATTGCTTTCTAGATACTTCACGATTCTTCAAAAAGAAAGAGTGAATTAAACCTCCAGTGATATTGCCAGACTTATCTGTGGTCATGAATGAATTTGCCAATTTTTCAAACTCCTTCTTGATAACATCTTCATCGGTAAAGACAACATTTTGGGAAAATCTTTTTCCCAATGTTGCAATAATGTTTCCATGAATTTCCAATAGTTCAGTATGCTCAATAGGCAAAGGGCATTCAACGATCTTTTCATTCATCATGGTAGTGTACAATTCAGGGAGTAGTTGCTCTTCCTTTCTGAGTGATGTTTCAGAAATGAGAGAAATTGGATCAGAGAATGAAGGAACCATTCCAGGAGTATTCAACTTGAAAATATAATTGAACAATACTACTGGCAAATGATCTATTGTCATTTGAGCCTTTGATCCATGTTTGTTGTGGAAATATTTTGGTGGTGCATTTTGAACAATTTCATAAACGACCTGTTCCACCTTTTGCAAGAACTCTGGGTTCAGATAATGCCAATAATCTGCAATGGAGGTAAGAATTTGGGTACTGACATGTGGAGGTGGAATAGTATCATATCTCCTGTTTTGGAAATACATGACGATATCCCTAACAATATTATCCAATTGGTCATCTCCACGTTTAAGAATTTCTCTTTCCATGTAGCTGTCAAGAGTCTGGCCATATGGAAGTTGTAAAAACACGTCCCTCATTATCCAGTGGAAAAATGGTGAATAGGAGCCTTTCTCCAAACTAAGGGTTTCAGCAATTTTGGATACAAATGACAAATGGTGCAAGTCAGATCTTTTTGGTGAGCTTTGTGAGTTGTAAACAAAGTAAGATGAAATCAAAACTGAAAGAATTAAGAGCAAGTAATCATTATCATTTGAAGCGTCAGTTGAGTTCATGCCTTCACAGTCCAAAACGAGCAACAAAGTCTCTTTTCCTTCAACAAGAGAGCAAGACATCCAGATTCCTTTGGTTTTAGCAATCACTTCATTACCCAATTCAAATGCAGTAAAAGTTCTGTCATTAATCAATCGACATGACAAGAGACTTTTACCTAATCTCATAGGTCCTGATACAGTTACGATACCAATAGGAATTTTGCCAAAATTCTTGACCATTGTTCTTATAGCCTGAACTGATTCTCTGACGAGATACAATCTATCAGGAGCTCTACAATTGGAATCAACGAGACCAGTTTGAGGATTGACATATCCTTCACTTCCATTCAATTTCACCATTTGACTTGTTTGTGGATCAAAGTAGTGATCTGTAAATTGAACAAGAGGAATACTTTTCATGCCCTCTAGGGGAAAACTTTCGCCTTCATCAAAAAACTCCTCGTCCTTAACATATTCAGGGATTGATTCAATACTAATTGGTCTAGTATCACCTCTCGTAGTGGCTCTTTTAGTTACTGTTTGAGGAAATGATCTTGGAATACTTGGTGAAGGTCGTATATGGGCTCTCCTTTCAAATTGGTCAGAGTGCTGAGAATTGTTACCAACAAAACCTGGAGAAAATTGATACATTGGCTGTGGATTATTTTGAAATGGATTCACATTGAAGTATTGGTAAGGAGGAAGATGATTACCAAATGAAACAGGAGTGCTAGCTCCATCAAATGTTGATTCTGGTAAATAAGCTTGTCCAGTAACTTCATGTTGTTGAGGATTTCCAAACGCCATGGGATAGAATCCATTGTTTACATTATTGTTCATTTGTGGTTGAGGAATAATATAACGTGGAAATGGCATTTGAGAATTGTAATAGGACGGAACACCAACCGAGAAATCACTCATTTGAGAGTTTGGAGTGGTCGTTCTTGGACAATAGTTTGAATCTCCCTTATTGCTTTGCATTGTTTTTTTTGTTTTACTTGCAGAAATGATCATATCAGACAAAACGTGTGAGTGTATTATGCTTCATCTCATTACACGTTTCGATTTCAGGTTTGTAATAATAGAGTAAACGTGATCCATCACGTTTGGTATTAAAGTGGTTTCAATTTTAAAGTAATTAAAGCCAGCTCTAGCTTTACTATAATGCAATAATTAAAAAACAATGCAATCTGCTAAACCTCTCATATTATTCAAAAGCTCTGTTAATGGAGAATTAAATTCATCTGATTGTGGTGAACCTTTTCTGGTTCAAGAAACAGTCAATGAATTACTACAATTGACCGATTTACTCAACAAACCAGTCAAGGTAATTGGAGTATGTGGTCCAAAGAGGGCTGCTAAAACTTCTCTTGCCAATTATCTTGCTCAATCTGTATCATTTGAAGTTGGACATTCAATTGAGTCCAAAACAAAGGGTATTTGGTTGTTTGTAGTTGATAAACAAGATCATTCCTTAATCATTTTGGATTCTGAGGGTTTTGATGAAGCCTCAACTGCCCAAGATCAACTCTTGTTCATTATCCTGTACTTTTTGTGTTCCCTCCTTGTTTTCAATACCAGTCATGTGCCAACAAGACAAAATGTTCAAGATTTACAATTTCTAGCCGAATTTAAATCCAAGCTACTTGTATCTGAAGCTTCAACCCATAACAAATCTGTTCATCCAACCTTCTTGAATTCATTTGGTCCAAACTTTTTATGGTTGATTAGGGATAAATTCTTGAATATTCCCAACGAATTTCAAGACATGGAAGATTTCATGTTGAGAGTAGTCCTGGCAAAATCAAATGATGGAAAGGATCATTTGAGAGAAAACATTCTCACCATCTTCAATAGAGTCTTCTTTGATTTTTTACCTGTACCTGGAGAGCCATCATTCCAGTCAAAATTGGAACATGTTACAATGAATGTTATTTTGGCTAATGTTCCATTAAAAAAATTGGTCAATCCTGAAGATATTGGCGATAGAGAAAGTGTTACTTTGGAAACATTCCTTAAATTGGTTGAACTTGTTATTCATCAAATGACTCGAACTCTTAACAAGATTCCAGTAATTGACAATATTTTTCATACCATCACCTCCAATAAGGAAATTTACAATTTAAAACGTGCCGTTCAAGTATACGTTGATCACATGAGCAGGGAACTTGATGATATTGACCCAGTTGACTATGACATATTCACTGAAATAGATAAGCAAGCTGTTGCTAAGGCAACCAAAACCTATTTTGAAGGAATTCCATCTTCAACTGCAGATTCGAATAGATTACTTTCTGATCTCATGCAAAAGAAGAAGAGTTTCATTGACGACCAAAATGAAAAATCCAAAACATATTGTACCTCTCTCATCAAACAATTGTACTCGAAAATGGTTGCTCCCCAAGTAAAACAGTTAATGAATGTCAGAGGTGATATTTCCATGTTGCTTGACACTATTGATAAATTCAAGAAGGAATACCATTCGAAAGCTAAAGGAAACATGGCAGTCTCTGTTTTGAATGGCTATTATAATCATCATATTACTAAGGATTTGAATAATTTGAGTTCAATAAGAGAGTATGAAGAGAATGTGAAGAATATTAAGGAAGAATTTTCTCACAACTTGGTTCAGTTGAAGGAAGCTGAAAAATCTCTTGTCACATTTGAGAACAATATTTCTCAAAATACAAACTATCAACAAATGCTAGAAATGCAAACAAAACTGCAATCTGAACTCTTTAAAGAAGTGATGATTGCTCAGAGGGAATCACAAGCTAATACTCTAGTCTCCATTGATATGCTCTCAAAGAGTATGCATGACTCTCAGAGACAAGCTCTTAGCATGTATTCTGCAATGCAACAATCTCAGCAACAAGCACAAACTCAACAATTAGCTCTCGTTCTAGAGCATAATAGAATTGCAAGTGAGCAACTTAATCAAGCAATGGAAAAAACTACTCAAGCAGTAATTCAGTATAATGCCAATAGAGAAGATGATTCTTTTTTGGGAAAGGTTGGAAAGATTGGTTTAATAGTTGGTTTAGGTGCTTTGGCACCTGCATTGGGTGCCATTCCACATGTTGGATCTGTCCTCTCTGCAACAGCTACAGGAATGAGTGCAGTTATGGGAAAGCAATTGCTCGGACAAGAATATGACCCAAGACTAATTCAAACCAATACTACTCCTACTCCTCCAAAGGTTAGTCATAGTCCATCAGTCAATCGAGACTCCTTATTATCTCAATTCACAACCAATGCTCTCTCACAACAAGTGCATCCACAAAATCAACAAGTAACCAACAGCCATCAACCAAGAGCTGTTGTTAGCCAGCTGCCAAGAAAGAATCCTATTGTGCAACCTCAAAAATCTTCAATCACAGAGTCCACAAAATATGAATTGGGTGGAGAGTTTAAACAAGTTGGCCTCAATGGATCTTATTCCAATACTGTTACAAAAGATATGTTTCCTTATGGCTGTCAATGGGGATGTGGACGTGAAAATGTTTGTTCAAAGCCAGGCCATTCATGTGGAAGACCATCATGCAATGAGGAAAGAAATAAGAAATCCTATTTCAAAGGCACACTTGGTGTAATGTCAACAACAAGAAACAAGTTGTGAACAGATAGTAGCTCTATGGTTGTTAGTAAAATTGGTAATAAATAACTTATTTGTTTATTATTCACATTATTAGGGTTAGGGATTTAGGGTGTTATTGTCATTAGAAAACACAATGTTGCTCGATAGAGTGTTGTTACAATTGACTATTTACATGTTATGAAACTCTAGATATTGTCACAAGAAAAGTACAAGTTGAATTCCTTCAACTCTTCCACTAACATTTCGTATTGTTCCTTGCAATCTGAATGTGAAAGTACAGTCATACCAGTAATATCCTTCAGCTCAATTTCAGGTTCATTGATTGGCGTGTCTGGATTAAATAATTGAAATATTGTCAAATTTTGTGGTTTTTGTCTAAAGAATGGCATATTAATAAGATCATTAGAGGGGAGAGAGAATCTTCTTGGTCTCTCTTCATAAACTTGATCCACAACACAATCATCATCCAAATTCATTTGGTCAGAACAGTTGGGACTTGTTAAGCCACTACCTCCACTGCTATGATTACTATTTGGTGAAGCATTACTGGCAACAGAAGGAGTATTACTGCTACCACCTATCATGTGTTTTTTCATGTGTGCAAGAGGAGGAGGAGAACTAATTGCTCTATCTCTTGAACCACTGCTACCATTGAACGAAAATGGACTCAAATTACTAGTACCAAAGGCATGGGAGGATGGTGATGGAGCTGTTATGGCCAATGAACGTTGTGTGGTAATGACGATTGGTGGAGAGGATTGTGTCGATGATTCATGGTGGACATTATTCAGACAAGAGGTGGTATTGTTATTATTATGATGATTACTTTGGCAAGTCGACACTGATGAAGATTGGTATTGTTGTTTTGGATGTATCGTCGACGATGGAGAGTCATGAATCATGGTTGTACTGGTGGAGAGTTGCTGCTGATGACAATCGCCACCATTATTCAAGTCTAATTGCTGTGAGGGTGAACCAACATACTCATTAGAAAGTTGATGAAACCCCTGATGATGATGTCCAATGTTCAAACTATGACCCGTCGTCGTTAATGATGATGATGAACATATCATTGTTGGTGATGAGAAGTATGGTGAGATGCAATTTGTTGTTCTTCTTGTTGTTGTTGGTTCATTTTTAAAAACTTGTGAGGGAGAACTTTTATGTATTGATGAAAATGTCGAGTGTTCTCGTTTTGTGTTTTTGACTTGTAAAGGGCAGAATCTGTGTTGTCCTCTCTTCTCTGGTGTGTTGATGATGATTCTCAAGGTAATAATGGAATCTTTTTTCTAATGTGGTGCCAAGATAGCAACAAGTACTTGGTGTGTCAAATAGAGATGAAGATTTAATGCTGACAATTCAGAGAATAAGCGAGCAGTTGATTTGTTTTTTTTAAATGATATTTATGTCCAATTTGGTTTTCATGGGGGTTGTTGGTGATGTTGTGAGATGTTGGTGGTGGCATCTTTGCTTCTAGCTATGAAATTTAAAGATGGATGTTGAATCGAGAGAACACTTGAGAAAATGGTATTGATTCGGTTAACGGTCGACATTATCTCTATTACAGTGTGGTGTTATGAGTTTTCAACTCTTGGCGCCAATATTTTAAAATGCATGTTCGATTCAGCAATACTTAGTTTCCTGAATTAGAATATCTCTATTTTTCTTCATCAATTCGCGACACTACAGTGACTAACAATGAAGTTAAATCTCTTCAAACAGTAGTTCTAGACCGCCAAATGATTTCCAAACCTTATTATTACTTGTTTAAAAAAGAAGATTTGAATTGCTCAATAAATATTCGAAACTCCAATTCACTGAATGCTTCAATCCAATGAAGCACCTTACCTATTAATCTCTTCCTTAATAAAGTCCTGATTCTTTGCACATGAGCTGTTCTGCACCTCTAACCAACAGTCATCAAAAAAAAATGGTCCAACAACCCCATCACACCACCCCTTCTACCTTACCTCTTCATCCACCATCGCCCGCTCACATTGGTGCTAATATTTTCCACCCGAAAAGTTTGGAGGAGTATCATACTGTGCTCTTCAAATCAATATCTAGTGTTGTAATGATAAAATCAGAGTGGTGTCCAGTCTCTAAGAAGCATGAATCACTTTTATTTCAATTATCGAAATCGAGACCTGATTTGAATTTTATATTTGCTGATATGGAGAAGATACCACAGATTAAGGGAGAGCTGAATGTAAAAACTCTTCCGACTGTATTTATATTGTTGAATGAAACTGTGCATTCGAGAATTGATGGTGCAAGTGAGCATGTAGAGGTGCATATCAAGGAAATGGAAAAGGAGAAGCATTTGAGGGAATTGATTTATAACAACTTGAGGACTGTTGTATATTTTCATAGTAGATCGGGATGTAGTTCTGTAGAGTCGAAGTATGATGACTATTCTAAAAAGTATGGAAACACCATAAGGTTTGAAAAATTAATTTATGAAGAGTGTCCTCGATTACATAGAAGTTTTGTGAGGGCAACACAGGTTCCTTGTTTTTGCTTTTTTAAGGGAGGAAAGTTAAAGAAGAGATTGGAAGGTCATAATTGTAACAATCAACTCGAGGGAGCTATTCATGATCTTACCTCAGACAATCTTGATTATGATGCTCTTGATTTACTACCATCATTTGACAATTTTATAACAATCGTTGACTCTGGAGATAAGCTTCAAAAGGTTCTTGATGAAAATGACATTGTAGTAGGTATGTTTCAAATAATATTAGCGATTTATATTAATTGGATTGAATAATTGAACTTAGTTGGAGTTTTCTTACAACAACAGCTGAACGAAAAAACACCAGCATTTGGACAATTTGCGAGCTCAGTATCTCCTCAAGCAAAATGTGTTTGTATAAATGTTAATCAATTCCCTTCTTTAAGAACACAGGAGGGAATAGATACAGTCCCAACATTTATGTTCTTCCTTAATGGACACTTATTCAAGAAAGCCAGAGGAAATAGGTATGAATTGGATAGGGAACTTAAGGAAATGATTGCACAACAATCTAAAGATGAATTCAAGAGAGTTGAAAAATCTCATTATTTTCACTTTTCTCGAGATATCACCTCTCCAACTCCACAAACAAAGAAGGTTGTGGCTACAACCTCTTCCTGTCCACTGAAAGTTGGCACAAGATCGGCCAACTCCACTCCACAACCAGCACATCATTCTAAGGACTCTCAACAACACTCTAAATCTTCCCTAGGCGTCAGAACTTCAACAACAAGTATTAAAAAATAGACTAAAAACTGTAATATTTCAGAATAAAACTTATTTATTTTCCAATAACGGAAAGAACCTTCTTGGTATCTTCTTGGTAGTCCAACACATCCACAAGAATGTGCTTCAAGTATCTTACATCTGCATTCCATTGTTGAATTTGGTGTTTCTCTCCATTTTTTGGTGGTGAGACAGCTTCAGAAAGTAATATAAGAGTCTCCTTACAAATATTTTCAATCCAGAGCGAAACATGATCATCATTCTTTAAAATTTCCAATTGTTCTGGTAACTTGATGAGATATTCACCAACTTGTGAAATGTATTTGGAAGGGTGTATGGAATGTTCCAAATCTGGAAGATGGATATCATCTACATATTCCACATTTCCAATAGAGTTTTGAAGTGACAGGTAATAATTTGTTGAGGTGTACTTTGTCGAAACACTGCTGAGTATAGTGGAAATATATGATACAAGTGTGGTCTTGACTAATTCTTGGGAGGGTTGGAGGATATTCAAATCTACTGACTTTGAAGCCATGGAAAATATTGGGAATTGAGTTTCTTGTAAACTATTGTAGAAATGAGACAATTGCTTGAAGGTTTGCTCTGTCTGAATTTTTACATAATACTCAGCCATATTCTTTGCAAGAACTTCTTTGAGTACTTCCAAGAGTTTTGTTTTGATTTTTTCTTCCAATTCTTCAAGCTTTTTCTTTACACCCTGATCCTTATCATTGACCAATTCAAATAATTTGAGAGCATTCTGTATGAGTTCTCTATCCTTCACAGAGAATGAAGCCATTTCTGATAATGTTGGTACCTTTCTATTCTTGAGACTCTTATTAATTTCATTACTGACAGTCTTTTTGATGGATTGACCAAAATCATCGAAAACTTGGTTGATAACCTTGATAAAGCTTTGTGATTCAATACCATAGGTAAAGGTTATACATCTCTCGAGGGCATTTTCACATTCTGTGAAAAGGAAATTCAAAGCTTCATCAATACACTCTACAAAATTATCACTCATCGACAAGTGAGGTCTAACTTGCTTCAAGAGGTAGTCCTTCTCCTGGGTGGAAAGATATTTGGCTTGAAGAGTTGCATAAGGTTCGAATAATAATTTTTGAATGGTTTCTGATTTGGAGAGGTCATCCAATTGTTTGAAAAAGGTCTTTGTTGATCTATATTGATTCATGACCAATTGTTGGAGATCTTCAGTTTGAAGCAGTGAACAATTCTTATGTTTGAAGCAAAATTCTACCAATTTTACCTTTACATTTGTTCTAATTTCATCAGGTGATGAAAAACTTTGGAATAACTTCCTATAAATTAAATCTTCTTGTTTGAGTATGTACAAAATTTGATTGAAGAATTGTTGCTGCTTCTTTTGTTGTTCAATAATTTCCTTATAATTCTTCTCATAATATAGTTCGAATATAGTATTGACACCATTACTGGAATCAATTCTTTGAACCAGTTCAATTAATTCTCTACAAGCTTCTATATTTTTCTTTTCTGGGCTTTCCATCATTTCACTAATAAACTTTCCACCAATCAATGTTTTAATTAATTTTTCCTTATATTGCAAAAGTTTAGGTTTTGATTTAGTCTTGACTTTTTCACTGTAAGGTTCCAAAGTTTTAACACCTTCCTCTACACAACAAATTTGATTTGTCATTTCTCTAAGTGTTTCCATTGAAATTTCCACTTGTGGTTCATTAAATCCACCACTATTATTCATATTTGGACTCGTAACAGGTGATTTTGCAAGACTTGGTGATGATTGTACACCTGTTGTTGTTCCGATAAGATTGTTCACCTTGTCTCTAAATAATAAATCTAATTGTTGCATTGATTTTGTCAATGATTTTGATTGTTCCAAAGTAACTAGAATAGAACTGATGGCCATTTTGAATTGTACTAATTGTTTTAAAGTATCAAAATGTTTGTTTCCTTCATAACATTCCGAATTAATTTTCTCAACCTTTTTATATAGGTTTGTGATGGCAATAAATAAATTAATTGATTGTTCCTGCATCCTTTCAATTTCAAATAGAGCGTTAGGAATCTTTTGCATTGATATTTTAACTTCTTGTTCCATATGTTGTCCCAAATCAGAAAACAAAACCTGAACCTTTTGTATAATTTGATAAACACTAACAGTAATATCAGTCTGGGGAGAACTCGTCTCCGATGATATCACTTCATTAATCCAAGTCTTCGGATCAAAATCGTCGGCTTGAAACTTTGATGGATCCATTTTTAATTTTTTTTGAATGTTAATAAATTTATTATTGTGATCAAACCAATCAAAAGATGTGTGAAAGATCACGACTGATTCAGATGTTAGTTGTGTGAAAAAAGTAAGCAAGTTAACTTCTTAAATCAATATTTTCAACAAGAAATGAGTAATTGTGAGATGAAATCAAGATTTGAGAAAACAATCTATTTCTTCTTTTGCTTGGCAATTCGTTCTTCCATTCTTACAATCATTTCCTTAATACGTTGTCTATAAATTTCCATCAATTCATGTCTTTGATTGAGTACCATTCCCTTGGTTTCAATTGGCTCACCCATTACTACATAAGCCTGATTTCCTGAATAAATTTTCCAATCATCATATGGCCAAATATGATCAATGCCATAATGAATCACTGGAACAATTGATGCTTGAGTTTCAATGGCGAGAACAAAGAGACCCATCTTGTAAGGGAGGAGTTCTTTGCTGGAGGAGGTTTGTCTATCACCCTCTGGGTAAATGTAGGTCTGGAATAGACCTCTCTTCATTAATCTTCTCATATTATCAATGACTTCCCAAGATTGTTTTGGTATTTGACGAATAATAACCTCGCTACCAACTCCATAACTAATCCAACCAAAGAATGGGAAAAGGGCCATCTCAACATTCATTATAGTAACAGAGTTTTGAGTCTTGTAGGCTAATTCAACTATTCCATCAGCCAAGCTTCTCTGATTTCCAATTGCGAATATGAATGGACCCTTTTCTCTAATTGTTTGTTCTTCCTTTAATGAGAGAGTTTTTGTAACTTTCACATTTGGATTTTTCTCATTAATCAAATGATAATACTCAAAAGCATTGAGCTTATTCAAATTTCTAGCAATATCACTCTCGTATAATACAGTTAAACTATTAAAGAATGCCCAGAAGAATAATTTACAAAAGAATACAATAATTGGATGGATCAAATAGAGATGTGTGAGAATGACATAATCCTTAGCTCTTTGCTCCTTTTCGTGGAGTGTCATTCCCTCCTTGTTTGTAGTTGTACTTTTTTTGAAATACCTAGCTATTAATCTTTCCTTTAATCGAAGAAGAGGAAAAATTACATTCTTAATTGTTCCTACTGTCATGTTTCTTACAATTCTAGAAAAAATTGTAATAATCAAACATGGTGTGGCACCAATTACAATAATCATCCACTTGGAGAAGTGAAACATATTCATTAAAGTTTCCTTCCATTCCTTCTTTTTGCTATTTTTCAATACCAATGAATTAGGTGATGAAGTAGAAGAATTAGAGTTGTCTTTGGCAGAACAAGTTGATAAATTCAAACCTTGTCCTCCTCCACCAATAGAAAGGGATATAGTTCCAATTAAATGTTTTCCTATTACATTCAATCTCCTTCGTATGATGGGATTATTAATATTTAAATTATTCCCACTCGTTAAATTCATACTAATTATATTGTGTTCATATTCTTGCTGATGGGAAGAAGAAGTGTCTCCAGTCAGATTAATCTTATTCGGATATATTTTGCTGCTGTTGATTTATACAAATCCTACTCGATGACTTTCTTGATTCAAGATAATAATCATCACGGCCATCACGTGGTTGATTATCATGCATTTTTATTATTGGTTTGTAAACATCATCTCCATCCTTGTCTTGCGTAATCTTTGTTTATTCCGATTGCAATAAAAACATCAGCTGAAAGAACAATGTTATTTTCCTAAAGTCCATCCTTTCTCTCTTCTTCTATAAGAGTCAGTAAATCAAAAAATTGTTAGAACCATGTAGGACACGACACTCTTTTCAAACAGAATCAGGTGCATTGAAAGCTCTAGTTAGCTACTATCACACCTCTGGCTCTAAGTACCTCTCCCGTATGAATGAAAGAAGTAATTAGTGTTGAGGGTTACGTTGCTTTGAAAGCCTATCATCTGCAGGCAATCAATTTAAGCGTTAGAGTGAGGGAAAAGGCGCCAACTTTTTGGTTTTTTAAAAATAATCATTAAAAAAATATGAGACGAAGTGCTGGTTGTTCAATGCAAGCAATGTGGAGGAAGGGTTTTCTTCTTCGGAATGGAGCACTTCTTGGAAAGGGATGTTCAGCACAATTTTTGTGTGGTGCTAATGGTAATAGTAATAATAATAACGGAGGAATGTATTTTGGATCAATAGTGGTTAGGAGAGCACATTCACCAATATTTAAATTGAATCAATTGAAAGAAAATGGAGAGGTGGATAATAGTGAAAAGATTGAAGAATTAAGTTCGGAAAAGTTACCTGATTTTGATTCATTGCCAAAACCTGTGCAGGAATATCTGATGAAAATTTCTGAAAATCCAGAACAACAAAGGGTATCTTTTGCCATGAGAGCAATGCATTCAATTTTGAAACAATATGAAAATAATTTATCAGTACTGACACCCTCATTCTACAATATTATTGCCTTCAATGTAGCAAGGAAACACAAGCACTTGAAATCAACAATCAAGTTGATTGAGTTGTTTGAAGATTTGGGAGTAATGTCACCATTACTTCACCGTTATGCAATAATATGCATGACTGATAGTTCGAATATTGGACAAACACCTCTCGGAGAAGTTTGGAAGTTTTTATTCAAGTACGATTTCACTCCTCATCCAGAGTCATTCAGAAAGTTCTTAATAGCCCTCATTGATCATGGAATGGAGGATAGTTCATTTGACAAAATTATTTTCGAAATGGATCCAGAAGCTTCACAAAAATATGGAAACAAGTTGCCAGTCCATGTAAAAATTAGATTCGTGCTAATTCACATGGTAAAATATGATATATCACTAACTTGGAAGCACTATAGACCTCTAGTTTTAGCACTTATTCGAGAAAATCAAAAGGATTTAATCACTACATTTTTTGAAACTCTCTATTCCAATAATAGGGTTTATGAAAATAGTGAATATTCACCATTTGAAGCTATTTCAGCAAGTTCTGTGCCTGGTTTTTCTCATTTAAATATTGAGAAAGATGGTAAACCTTATCATCAACCACTGTGGCCTTTGAGAAAAACAGGTAAAATTCAACTCATTTCACTTTTTGTCAAGGAATGCTCGGCAAGTAAGCTTTCAGATGTTGCGCAATATATTTTTAAAAAAACAACCAAGTACGTGAGTGTAGATACCAAGAGTATTAATGCCATTTTGAATACAATGATTGAATCAAATGATATTCATGTATTTGACCTCTATAATGAGTTTAAGAGAGCCTATTCTCCTCTTATTAATATTGCAACCATTACAATCATGCTCAAAGGATATACAAAGTTTATAGGACTCACCACCGATAGTTCTCTTCAAGTTTTACTTTACAAACAAGGATCAGAATTACAACAACAAGTACAAGACCTAAAAATTCATACAGACAAGTCCTACTTTAAGAATGTCATGTGGTTTTACCATGCTTGTAATTCATTTATTGATGTTGATATGAATAACGTTGAAAATTTGTTACGATTTATGAGAAAATGTGGAATTAGAGCTGATGATGATTTTACAGTGTATATAATGATGGCACTTTCAAATAGCCCCGATGGTATCAGCTTTTTCAAAAAGTATGCATCAAAGGCAAATCCTATCGATGTAAATATCTTGAATTGGGCCCTTAAAACGAGTCTCAACACTGAATGTTTTGAAGATAGTGTAGACATTCTTTCATATCTTGGATCAGAACGAGATTCATACGTAGTGTGTTATAATGAAGAAACTTTCAAGATTTGCTTTAATATTTGGAAAAAGCTCATCTTGGTGGGTAAACCAGACGAGTTTCCAATCCACAAAGTTTTACAAGATATGGAAAAATGCTTCGCCAACAACACCCTTGAACCAACAGAGGACCTTCTCTCTTTTCTTGGGTCTGTTTTACTTAAATTTTACGAGAGTAAGAATATTGTTGGCGAAGATCTTTTGAAGAATACCATGACAGTCATTACAAAGTATTATCCAAGTGAACTCATAGTAACCAAACCAAAATTGGTATCTTTAGCATTGAGTTCAGTTATTGGAAAGGGTTCTGTTGATATTAACCTTTTGGAGAAGACTGTGACAATGTTGGAGACCTATGACGAAAATTTCTTTGATACCATTCACTATACACAATTATTGAGGATTATCAACAAGAGCAATACACCAAACAGATGGAAACTAATGAGAATAATTTTACAAAAAATGACAAACACTAAAAAACACCCAAATCTGGTGACACTTCAAACAATAGTAGAGATAATTCTGAAAGAAATGCCACACATGTACACACTACTTTTGCAAATATTGTCAATAATGAAAAATAGATTAATCTTTGACTCTGAGGCCACTGAAGTACATGTGAGAAGTAAGCAACAATTGAGCTTGTGGTTGGAAGAAGTTACCGACTTGATATCTAAAGTGCGAGATCAAGAGACAGCTTTAGCTGAAAAGCAGATGGAAGCAAAATCTAATAGTTCAGAAGATTTACAAACCTAGTTTTTTATTATTAATAAATTAGTGAATAGTTTCATACAACTCCATTGCAGTATCAAGCAATAAAGTATCAAATAGTTGGTCAGTAATAAAGTTTTTGATCATTTCTTCTTCGAGGTTTGAGGATTTCCATTTTTCTGCAGGTTTGAGGATACCAGGAATTAAAGGAATTGAATGTTTTGGAAGGTATTCATTTTCCATGTCAGAGAGTGTATGATCAACAAATTGCTCATTCTTGGATAATTCAAAGGATTTAACAAGGCTATCAAACACAAATTGGAAAGGAGTCAATTGATGAACATTGGTGTAATTATTCTTTTTCTTTCTAATATTTTCTTCTCTTCCAAAGACGTGACCCTTAAATGCAACTCCAACGTGTTCAGATTGCATGATGGTGTTGTATTCACTCAGGTAAAAATTGAATGATTCCAAGACGAGTTGATTAAAAGCATCTTGATTAGGATTGGATGACTTTTCAAGAACTGATACGTCAACAAGATTACAGACAGATCCAACCTTGTCTAGATTCTTATCCTTAGAATTGTTGTGAATAATATTTAGAAGATTTTCTACATGTTCCCTAGTTTGAATAATTTCTCCTGATCTTGGTTTTTCTTTGAGGGAAGGTAATGGACCTAGTTTAGTATTGAAAACATGGTATTCGTCATGATCGTGAATGTGCATATCTGATAAAGTTTCTCCAGTAAAGTCTTCATCTTCGTCGTGATGATCAACTTGCTGTGGAGATTGTTGCTCGTGTAAGTGAATATCATCATCACCAATAGTATTTTCGTCTTCAATAGAATCGCTGGAAAAGTCAAAGTCATCTTGCTCCAATACTTCTTCTTCCACGTGGAACTTTTCAGTTTGAGGTGATGGTTCTGAGTCAACCTTGTTTTCGTCGAAATCTTCAAAATCAGAACTAATATCATCATCAAAATCTGATTGAGCAAGCATTTGTTGCTGTTTAGCATCTTCTTCGTCATTGAGCTTCTTTAACCTAAGTTCTTCTTGTCTTTGCTCTTCCTTTCTGAGTTCTTCTTGACGTAACTGTTCCTTTCTCAATTCTTCTTGTCTTTGTTCTTCTCTTCTGACTTCCTCCAACTCTTGTTGTTTTTGTTGTTCCTTTCTTAATTCCTCTCTTCTGAGCTCTTCTTGACGTAATTGCTCTTTTCTTAACTCCTCTTGTCTCAGATCTTCCTTTCTTTGTTCTTCTCTTCTGATTTCGTCTTGACGAGTTAATTCCTTTTGGTTTTGTTCTTGTTGCTTCAACTCGTCTTTCAATTTGAGGATTCTGAGCTCTTCCTTTCTCAATTCTTCCTTTCTGAGCTCTTCCTTTTCGATTTCAGCTTGTTTACGTTTCTCCTGTCTAATACGTTCGTCCTCAAGCTCTTTGTTCCTTAATTGCTCCTTTCGTTTGATTTCCTCTTGTTGCTCTTGCAGCATTTCCATCTTTTTTCTAATTTCTTCTTCAGATGCTTCTTGCTTTTTGAGTGAATTCTTCAACAATTCTTCTTGCTTTTCCTTCTCCCTTCTGAGTCTTTCTTCTTCTTTTCTCAACTCTTCCTTTTTCTTTGAATAGGTAAGTCTTTCTTCTTCAAGTCTTGCCTTTTCTTCATCGAGTTGTTGCATTTTGAGTTTTTCTTGCTCTACTCTGTCTTGTTGTCTTCTTTGGAACTCTTGCTTTTCTTGTTCTAATTGCTCCTGTTCCTCATGAAGTCTTTCGAGCTCTTCCCTAATGCTATCCTCTCTTTCAGAATCTTGTAAGAGTAACTCCCTCTTGAGCTTTTCTTGCTTCTCTTGTTCCTTCTTGAGAAGAATTTCCTTTTGTTTTACAAGCTCTTGTTCCATCTTTTTGGCAAGCTCTTCTTCCTTTCTTTTGGCAACTTCCATCTCAATGTGTTTACGAAGATTATCTTCCTGTTCCAATTGATTTCTTCTCATTTCATCCTCATGTTCTTTGGCAAGACGTTGTTGATCTTCGAGCTGCTGTTTACTTTCATTGAGCTTGTTTTCAAGTTGCTTTCTGAGAGACTTTTCTTTTTCGAGCATTTCTCTCAACCTATTCTCTTCTTGAATCTTTCTTTCAGTCTCTTCTTCGAGTTCTCTTCTCTTTCTTTCTTCATTGAGCAATTTTTGTCTAAGAACCTCTTCCTGACCCTTGAGTTTAACAAGATTTTGTTCTTCTTCTAACTTTTTTCTGAGAGCTTCTTCCATCTTTTTAGAAAGCTCCTCTTCCTTTCTTTTGGCAATGAGCTCAATTTGTTTTCTAATTATTTCTTCCTGCTCGGCCTGTCTTCTCTTTAATTCTTCTTCTTGTTCCTTCAAGAGCCTTTGTTGTTCCTCTTTATGTTTGAGAAGTTGTTGTTCCATCTTTCTGTCCATCTCTTCCTCTTTTCTTTTAGCGACTTCCATTTCGATCTGGACACGAAGCTTTTGCTCTTGGTCGAGTTGCTTTCTCTTAAGGTCATCTTCTTGCTCACGAACAATACGTTGTTGCTCTTCAAGTTGCTGCTTACTCTTGCTGAGCTTGTCTTCAAGTTGCTTACGTAAAAGTTTTTCTCTTTCAAGCATATCCTTAAGCTGAGACTCTTCTTCAAAGAACTTTTCAGTTGTTTGTTCGAGTTCCCTCCTCTTTCTCTCTTCAGATAAGAGCTTGTGTCTCAAAGCTTGCTCTTCATTCTTGAGTTTGAGAATATTATTTTCTTCCTCCAACTTTCTCTTCAACTCTTCTTCCATATTTCTGGAGAGTTCATCGTCCTTTCTCTTAGAGACAAGTTCAAGCTGCTTACGAATAATGTCTTCTTGTTCAATATGTCTTCTTCTCATTTCCTCTTCTTGTTCTCTAGCAAGACGTTGTTGTTCTTCGAGTTGTTGTTTACTCCTACTGAGCTTATCTTCAAGTTGCTTACGTAAAAGTTTTTCCTTCTCAAGCATGTCTTTCAATTGCTTATCCTCTTCAGATAGCTTTTCATTGGAATCTTTGAGTTCGCGTCTCTTGGCCTCTTCTTCGATGAACTGAGTGATGATTGACTCTCTTTGGGCAAATTGTTGTTCAAGTCTCAACCTCATCTCTTCATCCCTCTTTCTACGTTCATTATCGATTTCTTCTAACTTTTTTCTAATAATTTCCTCTTCTATTTGTCTCTTCATTACATAATCTTGTTCTATCTTCTTCAGAAGATTTTCCTTAATTTCATTTTCAATTTTTGCCTTGAGATCCTCTTGAGTGATTTCTTCATCAACTCTCTTCAGCTTTTTTCTCTTTACAGAATTCGATACAGGAGAAGTAGAAATTTCCTCAGATGATGTTTCGCTTTCATAAGAGGTTTCTGAAAGCTTTTTATCTTGAATCATGAGTTCATTCTTGACCTCCTTGATCTTTTGCTCTATCTTCTTGGAACGAAGCAATTGTTGTATCTTGGCCTCTTGCTTCTTCTTTTTGGAACGAAGAGCTTTGAGTTCCATTTTCATATTCTCAATGTTTCTTTCTCTCTCTTCGAATTCTGTTGAAACACTCAGTGTTTCTTCAAAAGACATACTCGAAGTAGTATCCATCAAAGATTCTTCTCTAAGAAGTTGACTATTATGAATATTTTCAGCCTTTTTACCCAGCATTTCAAGAGCTTCTTCTTCTTTTTTAATTTCATTTTCCAACTTCTTTTCGAGCAAGCTAGCTCTTTTGATGTTTATCGAAAGAATACTCTCTTCTGATTGTTTGATTTTCTCAATTACATTGAGAGAATCAATTAATCGCCTTGAGATGTCTTCCTTAGACTTTTCATCAGGCTTTTTACCTTGAGGAGAAGTACCAACTTGGGCATCCATCGTTAGTTTTGGTTTTTCAACTTCTTTAAAAATTTCTCTATCAACAAAGTTTGGATGAGAAACAAAATTAGGTGAAGGCTTAGTGTAAACAATGTTTGTAGGTTGGCGTCTTAGAAGGTCATCAGTACTAGGTAATTCAAGTATCTCTGGACTTGATGGTCTCTGTTCAGTCCAAGCTTGTTTTATGGTATTATTGTTCGATGGATGGTTTTGAATATAGGACGAGTTATGATTATCTTGGTGGGATGTCACAATTACTTTTGACATTGGTGGAGAGGAATGGATTGGGCTGAATGGTTGTTGAGCGAAAATGGTTGGCTCTGTTTTGTACATTTCCTTTCGTATCTCTGAGTATACGTGTGGGAACATGACTTCTCGTCTGTCAATCTCGGAAGGGTATAGATTATGATCATAATATAATGGTGCAGAATATGGCCTAGTGTCCGTTTCTGACTTGGTCTTTTTAACTTTCTTTTTCTTTGCATCTCCACTTGATTTTTCCCCTTCCTTTTTTTTAGATTTTTCTTCTTTTCGTATTGAGGAAGAAGGTGGAGTCTTAGATCTATGTTTCTTTAAAAGAGAATCCAAAGTTGTTACTATTTTTTGTTCTTGTTCGGATGTCATCTTTTTCATCTTCTTCTTTGGAGAAATAGATTTCTTCTTAGGTTTTGGCACTGTCTTGCTTACATATGCTTCTAATTTTTGAAGTGTTTGTTCTCTCTTTGTCCTTTCGGCTTCCTTTGCCTTATTAATCTCTGCTTTTTGATTAAATATTTCCTTCTGCTTCTTTTTCATAAACTCTTTTACTTTATCCTCATCATAGGGTTTCTTTCTATCCATATAATAAGGCTTTAAATCAACCTTAGGTTCTTCCTTAGGTTTTGTTATTGGAGCTTTTTGAAGGACTGGTGGTGTTGTGGAGGAAGACTTTTTTGGTGGAGCTGAAGATGGTCTTGTTTCATAGGGTGATTTTTTGCTCGGTGTTGATGATTTACTACTCAAAGAAAACAAGGTTAGAATTTATCAAGAATTCAAGAATTCAACACTTACGATGTGTTTGTTGTTGTGGCTGTATTGGGTTGTTGTTGATCTGTTGCTGTATTGTTGTAGCTGTTTGTAAATAAAACTCGTGATGTTATTGTTGGTATGGCTGTATTATAACCAGAAAAGAAACTATCTTCCTCATGTATTGGATCCCTAACTACCTCAGGAGATGCCGATTTTTCTTGGACGACATTGTGAGGCGATTGGGAATGTGTGGACATTTTTTTTTGTATTTGGATGAAATTTAGGCGCCAAATTTTGGTACGAAAATGTAAAGAGTTTGGCGCCAAGGATTTCCTGAATCAATAACAATGAAAATGGAAAATTATTTTCATCATTCAAGTGTTCTGAATGAATTTGTTGTTTTTTCCACTTTCACAAGTTTGAAAATGTAATGATTACAACAATATTTTACATGCATAATGTAAAATACAATAATACTAGTAAGGTGATCAAAGTTGTAGTACCTCCTGATAGACTTGAATGTAGTGTCATTGAATTGCCTGTACACATGACAGAATCTGCCATATCAAAACTCTTCCAAGAACCTTGATAAACTCTATTAATTCCATTACTTGTTGATAGACATCTAAAATCTATCAACTCTCTCGAGTTACAACTTGCATAATAATTCTCACACGAGGACATGCAGAGATTGTAAATTTGTGTTGACTCGTCCCTACTCACATCACATAGTGGAAAGAAGTGTTGACAAATGTAACGTCTTGCTGCATTGTAGCACTGACTTTTTTGAAATAATCCCTTGTGATAGACTTCCGAGTTGAATGATAATAATGCCTGTCTATCACTCAATTTTAAATAATCAACAATTGTCAAGTTGTAAGAGTCAAAGGTTGATGAAGAATTGGTGAGTGTTAAATTATTAGATATGCAAATTCGTATCGATTCGTTGAGTGTCATGTACTCGTTGATAGTTTCCAAGCAGAAAGTTTCGTTTGCATTCGTTTGCGAAATAAAATCATAGAGAAGAGGAGAAGATAGAGAGGTACATTCACCCGAACAAGATCCATAGAAATTGTTATTGTTTAATGTTTCCGATTCGTTCATAAGTGTGAACACCAAGAGAATGACAAGAAAGAATGAAGGATTTTTCATGTTGTTGGAATTTTTTTTGATTTGTGAATTGGCCAATAATTATAATCACCTCAATTTTTGTCTCGAAACGAGGATGTGCTTGCAATTTAAATTTTAAAAAAAAAATGATGTCAGCAACAGGAAATCATCATGAACAACAAAATAATGAACAACAGCAGTCGGAAAGAGCCAACCGTAAAAAGATTTTAGATGCTGTCTTGGAGTATTATTCAGAGGCTTTTTCTATAGAAAAAAGTAACGAGCAAATTAAAAACAAAATGGACCTTTGTTTACCGAAACATGTCTGTAAGCGTATTTCATTTAAATTATTGAAAACAGGAGCAAATATAAATTCCATTAGTGAGAAAGTTTTGAAAATTCCAAAAAAAGAAAAGAAAATTGAAAATCATGAAGAAGTGCTTCTTTCCCAAGCAGACTTGGATGATTTTAATAAGGAACCAACACAACATGACACTGAGGAGAAAAAAAAACAAATAATGGAGTATACTGAGCAGTATGTTCAGAAAAAGTCACAGAGTGTGCTTTCACAGATGGATAGTATTACTTTTCCCAAAAAGATTAGAGCAAGACTTGATCAAATTTCTAATATTATTGCTAAAACCTGTATTCATCTAGAAGA